ACAACTTTTATCAATTTCGCCCAACACCTCATAAAAACCTTATCCAGAGTAAGGGCTCGAATATTCTTGACAAAACGATTAATAAGGAAAGTGCTAGTCTCTTTATACATTATCCTAATATCTCGCTCTCTTCACTTATTTTTTTATAATGTTTATGAAGTGGCTACATCAGGAAAGGAATACAGTTATTATACGCCTTGTCTTGCTCTAACTCGCTGTTTATCTCCTTACCTTACTTTTCTAAATTTTTGTCACTAAGACCCATTTCGAAGTTTCCCTGAGCCAAAATTTACTTTAATATTCCCAATTCCTGTTTGAGGAGTTGTGCATTCTGAAAACAGATTACTTACTAGCAGTGACTTGAAGATACATTTTTCACCCGTAAGTATGAATACAGACTATGACAGTTGCTTGTTACCAATTAGTGTTACACTTTAAAATTTGTTCGCCTTACTCCGGTTCTTTCTTTGTAGGTATTTTTTACTCTTTTTAACACATCACCTTCAGCACATTTCTCTATGATCAAGAGTCACTTAAACCCATTTTATTTAGATACCCACGTTTATAATTAAAGATTCCTTTAAAAATTTTATTTTTCCATAAAGTATTAAAAGTAATTATAAAAATGTCAATATGGTCGCTCTATCCTGAAAAAATGACTTACTTTAGTAAAAGCTTGATCATTTTTATAAAAATTTAAAAGACTGCATCTTATCCTTTCAAAAAAGTTTACATGTAAACTAGACTTACAGAGAAATTCATATAAATATATGGCACATTTACAAACTCTGGTTTGTATTCTTTTTCTCCTTTCTTGCACTCTTCTCCATCATTGTATTTTGTCTGTATTCATTCAGCTAATGAAATTGGAAGTCTGTCAGGTCTCCTGTCAGCTCGCGAACGTGAGCTTGCTAGCTACAGACGACGCGTGGACACCATCCAGAACCAGTTGGCTCTCATTGGCCTCTGGCGACGATGGTTGCAATCGTCATCCTCTAGCTCTGTTGTCTCCTCTCCTGTCACTGCGTCCGGACCTACTTCTAGCTCTGCAGCTACTGGAGGTCCAACCACCGTATTTTCCTCATCTTCAGCAGAAGCTGTCACTTTAGCTTCTTTCAAAATGCAGTTGTGCAGGCGTCCCGACCTCTGTGGAGCCCTTACTAGTGATGCGACTGGGCAGACCTCCGGCAGCGTTGGCGCCTCTGTTTCACCATTGCCGCATCCAACCCTAGCAGCCGATCAGGTCACTTGTGCTTTTTCAACCTTTTCAAGCCTCTATCATTTCTTTACCTTTTATTTGTAATTATTTTATTTTATGATCGTGTTGTAGATCATATTTATTATTATCATACACATTGATTTTACTTGCTAGTTATTTATTTTCGAATCATGTTCTGACTTCAGACACCCCCACTTTTATCCTTCGAATTCCTCGTATCTTTTCAGTTCATAGTTCTATTCATGCAGTTTTAGGTGCCTCCTGTAGGTGGATATTTTTATTATTTTATAATTAGTTTTCTTATGTATGAAGCTTAGGATGGTGTGGCCTTTTATATGGCCGCGGTCTCCCTTCGTTGTATAGAAATTTTTGGACCTTGGTTTGCAACTTGGTCATGTCAGCAGGAAGATCTAGAGTAACGCACCCTGTCCGGAATCCATAGTATGCATGATTAATTTCCAGTCGGACCGTGGACTTGGTACATTTCCAGACGTTTCCCTGGCATCGTATTCGGCATCGTCAGTGGGTTGCTACTCTTAGCAACCAAGCTATAACTCGTCAAAGATACAAATGAAGTCCTTGATCCTTGATCCAGGCGTCTCCTTTTGGCTTGTCTTGTTGCATCCCTTTTTGCTCCGAGTTTGATTAGATAATAGGCAAAGTTATCACTAACTCTGCCTTCTTTCAATCTCCTATTCATTAATTTTTTTCTCTTAAGGCCGTCAATAGCCTTTCTAATCTTCCGTTTCTTTGTGTTTTCACTATATAAGGCTCTTCTTTATGTTGCCTTCCAATTTATCTCGTGTCCAGTCTTTGCGATGTTCCGCTATATCTGATTTTTAGTATTCATTTTCATGCAGAGCTTTTGATATTCCTTTATTCGTATGCCAATGTATTTCTTAAGAAAGTAGGGTTTCGAGACTACATCTCATTACAATGTATTTCTGTTCGCAGGCACCGCATACTATGCAGTAAACTACTAAGCAATCTTATTTGTCTAGCCTCTCATGTTGCGTAAGTAGCCTTATGAGGAATGTTGTTTTTTCCTTCGTGGTCACCTGAATATTCCATTTTCTTAATATTGGCCGTAGTTTTTGAGCTGGTTCACAGGAACGGAGACATCCACTTTTGTGAGTCTTTCTCCATCTTTATCTTTCTTCCATAATCTCCGTCCTGCCATCGGCTCTTCACGGCCAGTATGCTTCTTTGCATTACTTCTCTTGGAATATCCGAGTCAATTTTTTATATTCTTCTTTTCAATATTCCACGTCCGTTAATCGTGGGCTTCTGATGATCATGCTCCTCGGCATGCCTATCTTTATTCTGTAGTTGTGATGAGACTCGGCATATGATTTCTTTCTGGACAACTTCCTCTTGGATGTCCAAGTAGAGCGAATGACCTCTACATATAGGAAGGCCAAATGCCCTTTATCTTCTACATCCATTGTGAATTTGATTTTTTCATCAATCCCGTTAATAAACTCCAGGAAATCCTCCAACTTTTCTCTTCCATGCGACCATATTGCAGATTAGTCATCCAGGTACCACATAAGAACTCTTGGTTGCAGCGGTGACACATGGAAATTCTCTTCTAATTTGTCCATATATACATTTGCCGATAGAGGTGAGAGGTGATCTAATAGGAAATCCAAATGTTTCTTCATATATGTTGCCATTAAATGTGAAGTAGGTGATATATGTTGTCAAGTTGATTAGTCGTGTTAACGAC